CTGGACCCTGAGGATCCACGACGGGCAGCGCAGTCCTTCCCAGCAGGGACGGCCACGAGCTACGATAACTTCCACCCCAGGCACCTGATGCTGCTGGACGACGACGGCCTCGACACGCTGGCGCTGATGCTGTCGGCTTCGGAGGCCATCGGGATGTTGCCCAAACAGTTGTGCTGGATCCAGATGCCGATGTTAGGCAAGCCGTCAGGTGGCAATCGATTGGTTATATTGCATGCAGTTGCATATCGAACGTGGCAGAGAGCACGTAAGCCCATGGTTGACCACATGCACGCTGGACTTGATCGGCGATACTGGGGTGCTAGTCGAGGGCGTTCTGCCACTGATTGTGCACGGCTGCAGGCGGCGCGATCCGAGAGCAACCAGGTCGCGCACAAGTACGGAGTCCTGACAGTTGCAGATTGGAGCAAATATTACGAGTCAATTCCTTTGGAGGGGCTGCGCACCAAGTTCCAGCGACATGGAGCCCCAGCTTGTTGGTTGAAGCTAGTCGTCAACATGTGGGCGTGCCCGAAGATCATCCGACTTGGAAGGCACCGCGCTCAACAGGCATTGGTGGCTACACACGGCTTGCCTGCATGTGACGGCTACAGCGACCTACGATCAAGGTCCATGCTGTGGATGCCTTCGACACTTTTGTTGAGCTGGCGCCGTTTGTGGATTTCCAGAACTACATCGGTGACACAGGGCCCCAATTCTCGTTCAGTGATCAGTGATAGCTAAGCCGATGGCCGCCGCTGGCATGAACCAGTTGAAGGCGGCCAGTGCCAAGTTGAAGGCGGAGCTGCATCCAGGCAAGTTGGCCATCCTGTCCACATCCAAGGAGATTGCCAGAGATGTCTGCACGGCACTGCACTTACCTCTGTCGGTGTGCAAAGCCGGCGCTGCATGCCGCGGCATTGACAAATCCGCAGGTGCCCGACGGCATGCACAGCGAGCACGACTGAAGCAGCGCAGCCGCGTAGGTCAAATGAAAAAAGAGAATTCGCAATGTTCGGGCCCTCCGAAGGCGTTTCAAGGGACCCAAAGAGACCCCGTTCAAGAAGGTGTCGAAACAAGGCATCGCTCCTGCTGCCGGCTTCGGGGCGGAGGTCTCGGGTCTCACGGCCTCGGAGTGGCTGAGCCTGAAGAGAATGATGGCCCGAAGTGAAGGGCCCGCTCACGGTGGCGCTTCGCTCACGGCTAAGTGTGTTTTGCTGGGTGACGGAAGCGCCCGCTTCGCTATTGCCCCAGCTGTGCAATTGTGTAGGATGACATGGACCGCTTCGCGGCGTCCTGATGTCTCCCTCGTCTCACATGCCGAGCACTTGAAACTTTGGGAGCTGTCTAGGCCTCTCGAGTGCCCGTCTTGGAACAAGTCCCAGGCGCCGATCTCCAGAAACGTCCTGAGTTTGAAGCGTGCTGGATGGCATGCTGAAGGTCCGCTCTCATGGATCGATCACCAAGATCTCAAAGTGGATTTGTCTGCAACGCTTCCTGCTCTCCTAGCAGCACAGATGGAAGCTGGTCTGCAGAGAGAGAGGGAGCTAGATTTTGCTCGGAAGCTCGGCTTCCCCCCAGGGACCAGGGCCACCCTGGACCTGATTCGGGGCGCCGTGGGACCGAAAGCCAGAAAGTTAACAGTTTCCAGGAGCATTTAGTCAAGAGCTGTGGATGCGGTGGACTGCGGACCAACGAGCGAGCGCAGCGTTCGGGGCACTCGCGTGACAGGCTGCGCGAGTGCGGGGAGCAGGACACAGTCCACCACAGGCTCTATTCCAGAATGCTCCCCCGAGTTGTTGAGGCGAGGGCAGCAGCAGAGGTGCCAGATTCTTTCCTCAACGCTTCGCGCGATGATCCCGACAACCCCATTTTCACGCGCGGTGTGTATACGTATGATGATAGCTCGCTGCCTTGCCCGCCCATGTCGTCTGAGGTGTATCTCCACGACGGGCAAGGAAACGAGCTGGACATGGAACCTGAAGCGATTGCCGAGTTAACCCCCTAGTCCCCGCTGCGTTTAGCGTCCGACGGTTCGAGCACGAAGCCTTGGATTCGGCCGCTGCAGCGGGCTGCCTGGGCAGTAGCTGTTTGCCCAGATGAGGGCGAGGACCCAGTGGCGATAATCAAAGGCATCGTCCCAGGAGTGCTGCCGCAGACGCCAGCCATGGCTGAGCACTGTGGCATTGCGATTAGCGGTCAGATTGCCTCGCGCCCAACAGTGCTCGGGGCTGGTTGCCAAGCCGCCATCAAACTGCGCCAGAAAAATGTGAACGATCAGCTCGCCCTGTCCAGCCAGTTAGCTGGAGTGCGAGGATTTGCACAGCAGCTAGCAGGTACGGCCCTGACCCAGGAAATACGCCATGTGAAGGCCCATCGAGATGAGTTTGAAAATTCAGGGCCTTGTAGGTGAAGAGAAAGTTTTCGCTGTTGCCAGTGCTGATGCTGGCCGATATGCAAAACAATGTTTAAGTATGCACCCCGCTCCCATGCCAGACTTCGGTAGCGAGTTGAATGTGGCTGGTGAAAGAGCGGGGTAGTTCCTGAAGCTTGCTACGAGTGTTCTCCCTTGTTTTGATTACGAGGCGCGGTGGGCAAGGCCCCACAAAATCAGCGCCCCGAGGTCGCGGCGACAAGTGTCGTGGCATGATTGGAAAAAGAGCGAGCTGAGCCTCCAGTGTAAGTACTGTTTCAGGGTTGCTGAAGGCAGCAATGACAAAGTCCCGTTGGACGGTTGTCGTGGGCTGCCGCCTTTCCTCCGAGGTCGGCTCCGCGATCCCATGGGCCACAAGCTCGTCGCCATGGTCGGACCCAGATCGTTTCCTGGCGTGACGTCTGGGTCGTGTCGGCTCCCGTCCAGAGAGCAGATACTCTGTCTTCGCTGCGTGGGTTGGTCCCAAGGGAGGGGTTTGAAGTTAGGCCGTCAGTGTGAGGCTCCTTCTCGCAAAGGATTGGAGATTTTGTCTGAGTTCAGGAAGGGTCTGTGCCCGAACCCTAGAGTGCGGGCCGCTCTTGATCGTGCGGTACCTCTTGCTAGGCTCGGCCTTTCCGCCGCCCCTCCTGTACCAGACGCTCCGATTGTCGCGAGGACCTCACACTCCAGTTCCCTGACGGCCCCCTCCTATGAGAAGCGTATGTCAGCCTTATACGAAAAGGATCCGTCTAAAGGAGCAGGCCAAAGCGGCCGATTCCATCAGATAAGTCTTGTCTGTTTTCACGTTTTTAAGCCCTGCTTAAACTTCAGTGCCGTGCGCTCCCCTTCGGGTCTTCCGTTCCGTTCCGTTCCTCCTCCGATCACGGCGAGACTCCGCCTCCTCCTCCTCCTCCTCCTCCTCCTCCTCTTCCTCCTCCTCCTCCTCCTCCTCCTCCTCCTCCTACGGCGGGAGGTCCTCGTGGGTTTTCTCTCCTCGGGATAATTTCCACCAGCTGTTCGTCGAGGGCGTTCCAAGGGTGCCTGGATCGTCCGGAGCGGCCGCCAGAGGCCCGAGGCATGGCCCGAAAGCCGGTTTCGGTTTTTATCCGCTCCTCTCCTCCTCCTCCTCCTCCTCCTCCTCCTCCTCCTCCTCCTCCTCCTCCTCCTCCTCCTCCTCTTCCTCCTCCTCCTCATCTCCTCTTCCTCCTCCGCCTCCTCCTTCACCTCCGAACATCGCCGACGTTTGGAATTCAGGCCCCACGAATGTATCGAATTTCACAAACAGAAAATAAGAGAGAGAGAGAGGGAGTGAGGGAGGGAGAGGGAGAGGGAGAGAGAGAGAGAGCGAAAGAGGGAGAGAGAAAGAGAGAGAGAGAGAGACATGCCCCGTGTGGTTATGCTCGCGTATTTGGTAATTCTGAGCGTCCGAGACCGCCTCAAGTGGCCCCTCAGAGATCGCCCCGAAGAGCAGGGCCCGACACTGGTGGGCACAGGGCTGGGGGAAATCGGTGCGACGGGAGGCACCAGAGTCTCCAAGCGATCCCCAAGAGGCCCCCAAAAGGGCTTCCAAGAGACCTCTAATACACTGCTTGCCCACGAACGAGGAAAGAGGACCAGATGAGCCGAGGTCAACTAGATATATCGCAACACACAGGTTGCGTCACAGACAAGTTTCACCCCGAATGTCGCACGTCGATAGAGCAAGGACTCATTATTTAGGGCCAACGCTCGTAAACTTGTATCGGCATGCGGTCGGATGTAAGTCTGAACGTTGGTGCGCATTTCAAGCGACAGTGTTCTCGCCGTATAGCTCCACCACACACCCACATGTCCAGCGGATGCGGGCCGGAATGAAGGAATGGTGTGTTGGTTTGTGATTTGGGACGACGGAGCATACGGCAGCATCACTGGGGTGTGTTGGGTCTACTCTGGTCCTCCTCCTCCTCCTCCTCCTCCTCCTCCTCCTTCTGCTTCTCCTCCTCCTCATCATCATTATCATCCTTATTACGACCTCCTCCTCCTCCTCCTCTTCCTCATCATCATCCTCCTCTCCCTCCTCCTGATCCCCCTCCTTCCCATCCCTCTTCTCTTCGTTCGCATCCTCTTCCTCCTCCCCCTCCCTCCATCCCGACTCATCCATCATCATTCCCATCTCTCCTCTATCTCCCTACCCGCTGAAGCCCCTACCTCCTCCTCCCCTCTCCTACTCGTCTTCATCTGATCCATCCTCAGCATCAGCATCCTTCCGCCACGCTGGATCCGCCTGGAGCCCTTCTCATGTTTCTGCCTCCCTCCTCCTCCTCCTACTCATCATCATCCTCTTTCTCCCCCTCGTTTCATTCCACCTCCCCCTCCACCTGCGGAAGAAGACCGTCACCGCATGAGCCACACGCCTCAGCCAGGCATCCATTAGACGGCAGTTTGCCGGTGCCCAATTGGCAACTTGGGATGCCGCTTTGCGCCCATTGGCTGGACCTGGCGGAGGGCCGTCGGCCCTTTCTTCTTCCTCCCTGTCCTCCCCTTTTGCCCCCTCCTCCTCCTCGTCCTCCTCCTCCTCCTTCTCCTCCTCCTCCCCCTCCCCGGGGGGAAGGCCCTGGACTTCTGGGCCGCCCAACTGAACGAGGCAACCCGGGCGGAGAACCTTCTGACCGAGAGCATGGGCGGCAGCCTCAAAAGACCACGGATCCGTTGGCCAGGGCTCGATCGAATCGATTGCCCGTCGATTGGTCGAAGAAGGAGGGAGGAGGAGGAGGAGGAGGAGGAGAGGAGGAGGAGGAGGAGGAGGAGAAAAGGGGAGGAGGAGGAGGCAGAGGAGGAGCTGGAGAGCAAGGAGGAGAGGGAGAGCGACGAGGAAGAGTGAGGAGGAACAGGAAGGAGGAGGAGGGGCCACATGCTCTTGCATTCCTGATCACGTGCTAGACGGATGCAAGGCAGGTCCTTCTCAAAACGAGGCCCTCGCCTACATGGCAGCCCCATGGGGTGCTGCTCTTTCGGGAAGGACTTTTCGTCTAGCGCGTGCAGGCACTTATGAGGAAGGGCCTTGGGACGGGGGAGGGCGTACTGCTGCATCGTTGGTGCATCTTGGGTTTACTCTGGACCTCCTCCTCGCCCTCCTCATTCCCCCTTCTCCTCCTCTTCATCCTCCTCTTCATCCTCCTCCTCTTCATCATCTTCCTCCCTATCTTATCCCCCCTCTTTCTTCATCATCCTCCTCCCCCTCCTCCTTCTCCTCCTCCTACCTGACACAACTCAGATCCCCATCCACATCATCCTCATCCTCCCTTCCCTCATCCTCAACTCATAGACCCACGTCCAGCTGCAACCAGCACTTTCATCGTTTTCGGCGGCGTCGATGTCGCCATCGCTTTCGCCAGCCCCCCCGCCATCGTCGACGCTAGCGTCCTCGTCGCCGCCAGTGGAGACAGTGCGGGCCGGATCCGCACCAGGGTCGGGCCGCCTGGGCCAGGCCCGTTTTCCGAGGCGATGACATGGTGAAGCAGCGGCGGAAGGACCTGGAGGCCAAGGGCCAGCTCAACGCGGACCAGCTCGCCAAGCTGGCCAACACCCTGGCCCCCCACGCAGCCAAGCATCAGGATCTGGGCAGCCACGGCCGCAGAGACGACGAGACCCGGCCGCCTCCTCTTCCACCCATGACCCCCGCCCCACCTTCAGGAAAGGCGCAACAAAAATGCAGAAACATAAACTTTCGGAGCTCCACGCGGATTTCGTGGATCCGCGATGGACCCCCTTGGCACGCTCCACGCGCCAGGGAGGGGGGTTCATCGTAGATCCAACCCGCGCGGAGCTCCGAAAGTTCACGCGTATGCCGTCTCTTTGTTCCCCAGACAGTTTACTTCTGTTTTAGGAAACTGGGTTCCATTGCCAGGTCCGCCGCCTTGTTGCCTCCGTCGCCGCCTCGTCGCCACCCGTCTTCTGCGCTCCACTGCCAGGTCCGCCGCCTTGTCGTCTCCTTCGCCACCCCGTCGCCGCATCGTCGCCGCCCGTCGTCTAGGCTCCAGTGCCGGGCCTGCCGCCTTGTTGTCGCCGTCGCCGCCTCGTCGCCACCCGTCGTCTGAGCTCCCTTGCCAGGTCCGCCGCCTTGTTGTCACCCTCGCCGCCCCGTCGCCGCCCGTCGTCTGGGCTCCAATGCCAGGTCCGCCGCCTTATTGTCGCCATTGCCCCCCTGTCGCCTCGCCGCTGCCGCATTATATAGATTGCGCCACACAGGTTGCACCACATAGATTGCACCACGTAGATTGCACCACGTAGATTGCATCACCTCGATTGCACCATGTAGATTGCACCACCTAGATCGCACCACATAGATTGCACCACACAGCCTGCACCACATAGATTGCACAACATAGATTGCCCCACATATGCTGCACCACATCGTTTGCACCAAACTGGTTTCCCTTTCAAAAGAAAGAAGGGGTTCTGATATATCACCCCGCGCGGGCGGGGTTATCGGTCCACCTTGGGGATGTGCAGTTTACATATGAGTTTGCCCCACCGCTTGTTCTAAATATAAGTTCATACCATCCCAGCAAAGCCGGGTCCCCCCCACCACCCTCGTCAAATAATACTATGCGCGCACATTCGTCCATCAAACACCATCAGTTTTCAAGAACCCCGTGCAACAAAAAGACGAAGTGTACACGCGCCGCATGCCGAGATCCTTCAACAACCAATCGGTTTCGTAAGGATATCAAAACCGATTGTCCCTAAAACATATACACAAACACCTGGCGTTGCAACATGATTTTTCTACACTTAGAAGATCTGAGCGGGCGCCCTTCCGAACTCTTAAGTTATATGTTATTTCAACACTGTCTACATATTGCCCATACGGGCATCTCGCGCGCGCATGTCGAAATCATTCGAACGCCCCTGCGCGCGTGCTGGTGGGGCACGATCCTTTTCAACAAATGCCGTGCGGGCCACTCGCGCCCGTCGGTCGCGCGCGCATTTCGAACGTTGCCTACACTAGTCGGGTTGTCTTTGTGATCAGCTACGTGCTCCAATTCCATCGCCCCACCCTACGCCGATTCCAAATTGAAGATAAAGTTCTGCAGATTATTCATGCTGGCCCCCGGTACAGTTTCAGTGGCAAGACACACAGTGCGTATCGATTCGTCATGTGGCGCGAGCGTCGGTCTATCGCACGGCCCAGGGGGTCCCAGGCCTGGCTGCGTTTCCAGACTGACAAGCAGCTGATTCTGGACCAGTCCCTGGAGTTCATCCCTGGTCGGTTATCAAGATGACGGTTTGACAATTCGCTTGTGCCTTACATGGGTGCGACGTTGCAGGAGACGTCGCCTCTCGCCGCGCAGACCCGCCCTGACGACCAAGCGCTTGCGACACGAACCCAACTCATGCGCGCTCTGAGAGAAGATGGAATCTGGCGTGATGGCTGGCGAGGTCCTCGACACCAAGCGTGATGTTGCTATCTGCGCTCTGGTCGAATGCTTCGCTCACACACACACACAACCTCAGCTGCGGTTGCGGACCGCTCCGTCGGGGACGTCGGTTGGACATTTCTTCGAAGGCAAGTGTGAGACTGCCGATGCAATGCCACCCCCCAATCCGGGCTGCCATTCTACGTGTCCGTAATCTTCTGGGTTCGTCAGCTCGTCTCTTTCTTCCCTGGTCTTTCGAGCTTGCCCTCAGCTGATGGGGACTGTTCGAAACCCGGTCACAGCTGCATGTGTTGTGTTTGCCGTCGCGCGCGTGCGCGAGGCCCTGACAGGCGAGCGATCCGCATTGTCTCTGTTGAGTCTGAGTTGTTGCGTGTGTGTGTGTGTGTGCGTGTCTGTGTGTGTCTGTGTGTGTCTGTGAGTATGTGTGTGTCTGTGTGTGAGTGTGTGTGCGGTGTGTGGTGTGTGTGTGTGTTGTGTGTGAGTGTGTGTGTGAAGTGTTAAGTGTTGTGTGCTATCTTGTCCCACCTGCGTGACCCCTGCTGCTTCTGCTGTCGTCGCTGGTGCTGTTGCCGTTCGTTCCCTCCTGCGCGTCTCTCCTGCTGTCGTTCCTCCTTGCCTCGGCCGTTGCTGCTGGTGGTGGTTGGGTCGCCCTTCGCCGTCGCATCCTGTTCATGGGTCCCGATGGGTTCGGATTCGCTATGGCTCGGACGCGTTGATCCCCGAGCTGGCAGCCGTGCCTATCTTGTTTGCCCTCTGCTGCGAGAGAGTGCCTCTCTGCCCGCAACCCGCGCCGCCCGCCTCCACCTTCGGACAAGTACATACGTTGGATGCTGGTGCCGCCTTCCCTCTGCGGGCGGTCGCTGCGTCTGTCTGGAGTGCCGCGGGGGGAGCTCCAACCCCATCACCTTTGTGTGTTCGGCCGGCCCTTTTGCTTACCCTCGCCCATACGCGAAGTCCTGACAAGTTCGAGCGTACCTCCGCCCGCGCTTACCGACGCGGGTGGCGAGCTTAGTGTATGGTCCGATCGGGCCTGATCGTCTCCCCCTCCTTCCTGTTCTGCGTGCTTTGCACGCTGTTTCCTTGGCGCCCGTCCTTTGAGACGGTCTGGTACTGATTGCGCCCAGTGCCTGAACTGCTCATCCCAGCCGTTTTGCATCATTGTTGCAGCGTGCATGATTCCATCGATTGGCACCCCGTTGATCGCCACAGGTCCTTTGGGAGAAAGTCACCACCATCATTGCTACGATCATTGTCTTTTCCGCCGCTGTCGACGTCACCATGGCACAGCGTCCGCCCGAGACACATACCCGCACCGAAGTGTCCGCGCGCCCGCGCTGCCCTTGAGACGCGCCGAGGAGTCCTATCGGTCAATGACACAGCGGCCGCGTCGGGCGCGCCAAAGTCGTTCTGCGCACGAGCTTGCGCGCCAGCGCGGCCGCAGAGATGTGCCACCCAGCGCCAAGCAGGCATCGCAATCGCCGCCGCATGCGTTTTGCAAACCAAGTTGCGGGTGGTAGGTTGAGATGATTGCGCGAGTTGTGGAGCTGACAACTTCCAGTGAATTCCTCTGTCCGAAAATGAATCCAGAACTGCCACCACCACCCAGATTTATCGCTTCCCCCTGGGATCGTACAATGTACTTCCGACTCTGCACCATCGTCCACTCTAAATATGATAGCATACCATCTCCCAGAGCGCCGCTCAGCCCCCCACACACCTCCCCTGCAACAAAGTACTATGCGCGCGGACTCGTTCATCTCAAATCATCAGGCTTTATGCTTCCTTGGCAAGAAGTGGCACGAAGTCGAAAGGCGCGCGTCGTCGCCCACGCATGCCGACATTATCCCAAAGCCATAGGATTCGTAAGGATGTCAAAATCCAAGTGTCCGAAACATTTGTTCAACAGACAATGATTTTGCAACGTTGTTGTCCCAAGCATAAAAAAGCGCGCGCGCACTTGCAGAGTCGTATGGGAAAGCGAATAGTGTTTCAGCATATCTCAATAAATACGACCACGATTGCCTCTCGCGCGCGAATGTCGAGATCACTCGAACGCCCCAGCGCGTTTGCCGAGGGGGGCACGGCCCCTGTCAAATAATACCATGCGGCCCACTCGCGCGCGTCGGCCGCGCTCGCATGCCGAAATTTCTTCATCACAGACACGTGGACAACATCATCGTCGCTGGCGCGATGAGCATCGGCACCGTCATTGGCGTTGCCGTCGTCACCGCTGCCATCGTCACCAGCATCGTCACTATCCTCAGCGTGTCTGCCTGTGTCGACGTCGCTATAATTCCACGCCCGCCCGAGTCACCGACTCGCATTGAAGTCCCCGCGCGTCAGCGCGACTTACGAAACGCGCTGGGATATGCCCAGCCGTCAGCGCCACCGCGGCCGTGTCGGTCGCGCCAGACTAGCTGGCCGATCTGCGCGCGAGCCTGCGCGCACTAAGCTACGGGTGGGTGGGTGGGACAGTGGAATGGATCATCAAGTGCGAACAAAAAGTAATTGCACCACATAGATGTCACTTCATTGGTTGCATCACATACGCTACACCACACAGGTTGCAACGCGCAGGCTGCTACAAACCATCGTTTGGGCCTTCGTTGGCTAACATATTCCTCTTGCACAAAAAATGGTGGGCGGGGGGTCAGGGATGCGAGGGAATGGGGCAGAGGGGGAATGGGGAGGGAAGCCCCCTTTTCCCATACCCCCGGCGTCATGATGTTTCTCACGGCGTGGGCCCCCAGAGTTCTCGGGACCACCAGTTGTTCGCCAGCGGCGTCCGTATTTTGTTGTCCTGGGACGATCGGCCCCTGGACGCCGAAACCTGGAAAAAGGACACACGTGTGCCACGATTCTTCCGCGAAGCGCGGAGGTCTGGAGACCCCCATTCATGTGGTTGCCCCGGCAGGAGTTCTGGCAAGCGCTCACCAAGCGGTTTGCGGGGCACGATCTGTCCGAGGGCATCGCGGGAGATCTCACGCCCGCGGGCAAGGCCGCGATAGAGGCGTTATCCCTCGCATCTTCCTCATGTCCTCTTCCTCCGGTGTGGACACTCAAGGTGGCAGTGGTAAATATGTGTGGAAGTTGTACGAGCCTTGGCACGGCGTAACAAACAATAGATGACAGTGGAGGTTGTTGGTGCGTCACATGCATGGTAATAGTTGGTCGTCGTCGTTCAGCGAGCGTTTGCCTGACAAGTGATATACCATCAGGGTTGTGAGCTCAATCCGACCAGAGGCGGCTAGCGCAATTTCGCTTTATGATGCCAGAGTATCACGGCCGCGGTAAGTAATTCAAGCTCGATGCTACAGATGCAGGTGCGGAAAGTGCCAAGTTACGGAGAGTTGGTTCATCGCACGCGATTGGCATTGAACAACCGAAAGGATTGGGCTCGACGGCGAATCGACGGAATAATTGTTTTTGTCGAAGGAATGTATTTGTTGACGGAAGGGATGTATTTTTCGAGGATGAAAGGTTCTGGCTCGCGGAGTGAACAGGATTATCGGGCCGACAGCTGGCGGACGAGCGCGAGACTTTTCGAAAGCCAGCACGTAAGTTGAAAATAAGTTCGAAGGATAGAGACGTTTCTTCAGCATTCAAAGAGTACGGTCCACCAGCAAGTGGCAGGGAGACATCACGCCTGCAAACGGCAAAGGGCAGTGTACCCGAACGTGGCGAGGCAACGATACATTGCACGCGTGATGATACGGCTTCTATTCGGAAAGTGGACGACAGCGAGTGGAGGCCCATAGACCACGGTGCGAATTGCGCAATGCCACGAAGGAATGAACCGAGTGAGTGAGCAGACTTCATCTGGCAGCGAGCGACGGAAACAAGAAACAAGTTCTAGACGCTTCACAAGCCCATCGAAAAACAACGCCCTGGCGAGCTGTATCGATCGGGGAAGCGCAGGAGCAATCAGTCGAACGCGCTTCTTGCGGCGCTCGACGCTGGATAACACCGACTGCGCTCCGCCGCGCCTCTCGACCTGTCTGCACCGCAGGAGGTCATGCCCTGACGGGTCGAAGGCTCCCAGCGGCCGGCTGACGCGGAAGAGCTTGCCTCGCCCAGGGCAGGGCCCCCCCCCCACGGAGCGCGGGATCGGAACAGCGCGCGCCCCCCCTCCCGAGCCGAGCAGAGAGGCTCGACGGCCTCAGCCCGCGACGAGCAGCGGCAGGGCGCGCGGTGCCTGAGAGCCGAGCAGCTCCCCCTCCTCCTGGCCATCGCCCGCTTTCCCCCGCCTCTCTGATCCCCCCATCCGCCCTGTCTTCCTCCTCTCTCCCTCCTCCTCCTCCTCCTCCTCCTCCTCCTCCTCCTCCTTCTCCTCCATTCCTTTTCCTTATGAATAACTTATCCTAACTTCTCCCTATCGCACGCCGTGGCCAGTTTGTAGGGCAAGCCAGGCGTTTCGCTTCAGATTTCCTCACCTTTTATGACTCTGAAGCTTAAAAGTGGCAAGAGTTTCACGGATTGAGGGCGGGTGGTTTTCAAAATATGAGTCTTGCTTCAGCGCCGCGCACATTCGTTTACAAGATTTGCCAGAGCTTCACGGATTAAGGGTGGGTGGTTTTCAACAGTGATTCTCGCCTTAGCGCCGCGCACACTCGTTTACAAGAGCTTCACGGATTGAGGGCGGGTCGTTTTCAAAATCTGAGTTTTGCCTTAGCGCCGCGCACATTCGTTTTAACAATTTGCAAGAGCTTCTCGGATTGATTGAGGACGGGTGGTTTTCAAAGTCTGGTTCTCGCTTTAGCGCCGCGCACATTCGTTTTAAACATTCGCAAGAGTTTCACGGGTTGAGGGCGGTTCCTTTTCAAAATGTGGATATCGCTTTAACGCCGCGCACATTCGTTTCAAACAATATCAACATACCAGAAAGGTTGTTTGGGGGGATTCAGGGTTATGCGGGTGTGACAGTTATGTTGATTCGCGGTGTGGAAGTCTCAGAATGGCATTCTGGTACGAATCAAGATCGCCAAGACGCAGCAGTCAGGTTGATCCGTGGCGTTGAAATCCCGAGAACAATGTTTTGGCATGCGTCAGGGTCTTCAAGCGGCTGTCTTCCAACGAGGCAGTTCCCTCATTGGGCATGAACCGTTGCAGGGGCCTACGAAGAGGGAGCTTGGAAGGAGGGTTCATTTCAACATCAGAGTGAGGGGGCCGAACGGTCATTCATTGTCCCTGGGTGCGTGGCTGAGTAGGGAATTCGTGGTGTGAATTATGCTTGTTGCGTTGTTGTTGTTGCTGCTGTTATTGTTGTTGTTGTTGTTTGTTGTCGTCGTCCCACCCGCGACCCACCCGCGACCCACCCCGCGATCCACCCCGCGACCCACCCCGCGACCCACCCCGCGACCCACCCCGCGACCCACCCGCGACCCAACCCGCGACCCACCCGCGACCCACCCCGCGACCCACCCGCGACCCAACCCGCGACCCACCCGCGACCCACCCCGCGACCCACCCGCGACCCACCCCGCGACCCATCCGCGACCCACCCCGCGACCCATCCGCGACCCACCCCGTGACTCACCCGCGACCCACCCCGTGACCCGACAACTGACGTTTACTAAGCGGCCCTGGGCGTTTACTGAGCAGCCCTGCCCTGTTCGATTCATTCCTTGCGTGCGTTTGCTAAAAGGCTTCGCCTGTCGGGGTGATGATTATAGGGTAAAGCTTCTGCCCTCTACACCCACGACCCAACAACGATCCACCCGCGACCCACCCGCGACAGATTTGCGACCCATCCGCGACCGACCCACATTGGTATAACGAAAAAATCGGCGCTTGCAGCGGGCTCGTTGTATAATTTGTGAAATGTTGGCGCCTGCAGCGGGCTCCTCCAGAATCTTGCAAACTGCCGACGTCCCCACCGCCCCCTCACTCTTACCCGCATCTGCGGGGTACTACGGTCGTTGGCGCCCCTTGGGTTTACATTGGTTCTCATCCTTTTCCTCCTCCTCCTCCTCCTCCTCCTCCTCCTCCTCCTCCTCCTCCTCCTCCTCCTCTGCCTCCCCCTCTTCCTCCTCGACCCCCTTCCCCTTCTTCCCTGCCCTCGTCCTCCACCCAGGGGTGCTTCCCTGGTGGCTCCGGCCCTGAGTTCGAGGGCAAGGACCTTCTCCTCTCGGCGCTCCTCGGCAAGAAGCGGAGGAAGAAGGATGAGGAGCGCCTCCCCGTTCTCTTCCACCTGCCTCCCTCGTCCACGCGATCCTCTCTGCCCTCCTGCTCCCTCGTGCTCCCTGTTCCGCCTCACTCTCCCTCGTTCTCCCTCATCCAGCATCCCTCATAATCCGCCTCCCTCCGCCACCATCCCTCCACGTCACCCCTCTCCTCCCTCCTCAATCGTCCCTCTTCCGGTGTGCCAAATCTTTCTTCTCCTCATCAGCATAAACATGTTGACAAGTATCAAAGCAATCATCACCACCATCATCATCATCATCATCATCATCATCATCATCATCATCATCATCATCATCATCATCATCATCATCATCGTCATCATCATCATCAGCAGCAGCAGCATCATCATCATCGTCGTCCTCTTGCTCCTTCTCCCTCCTCCTATCGCTTTCTCTCTCTCTCTCTCTCTCTTTCTCCCTCCCTCCATCCCTCTCTCGATGTATAAGTATACATGTTTATGCCATCATCCTGCTCCTGCCCCTCCTTCTCCTCCTTCCCCGCCACCGTCGCCGCACTCGCATCCGCGTGCATCATCATCATCATCATCATCATTATCATCATGATCATCAGCATCATCATCATGATCATCATCATCATCAGCAGCATCATCATCACCAGCAGCATAATCAGCATCATCAGCATCAGAATCATCATCATCATCATCATCATCATCCTCATCATCATCAGCAGCAGCAGCAGCATCATCATCACCAGCGGCATCATCAGCATCAGCAGCATCATCATCATCAGCAACAGCATCATCATCATCCCTCCTGCCTCGTCATCCGCATCCTCCTCTCTCCTTCCTCCCTCGCCCTCCTCCTCCTCCTCCTCCTCCTCCTCCTCCTCACCCTTGTTCCGTCCTCCTTCCTCGCCGCCGTCTTTCGGCTTCACCGCCGCCGCCGTGAATGGCCCTTTCTCTCTGCGACGACGCCCCTCCGCGGGCGCGCGCAAGGCCAGGCTGAAGTCCGAGGGTCCCGGACATCCGACGTCGTGACTTTTGCTGCAACGTGGCCCCCCAGAGGTCTGGACCCCATCCCCTGGGGGCCGGCGTCGTTTTCTCACGACCCAGGGCCCCGTACGGTTGCAAACGGCCCCCAGAGGCCGAAAACGGCCAAAAGATTTGCCGCCGTCAGCGTTTTGCGACGCGAGGAGGTCAGCTCTCGGACCACGACGCAGGCCTCCAGCGGCCACTCGGGACGACGCGAGCACCCCCCGAACGCTCTCGGCGAGGCGCGGCTGCTGGAAAGCACCCCGAGGCTGGAAAACCTCCAATGAGCCCGAACCTCGATGTGAGCGACGCAAGAAACGGGGTCGATTGCGCGGATATTCGCGCGTAAGCTCTTTGCGTACGGTCACGCGCAAGCGCCGTCTTATCCACGCGGTGTGCCACGCTGGCGGCTCGCGTAAGCCACGGCGTCAGATCGCCACGTTTTCTCGCATAAGACCGTTTCTTCTCGTCGCCGACATGGTTCTTGAGATCCGACGTTGTCAACCAGATGCAACATCGCGAATATTCGCGACCAGAGCCCTGGACCCCATCTTTCTGCTGCATTTGTCGAGCCAGATCGATATGTGATGGCCTTGGGGCCCGATACCAGGCGGAACTGCCGACGGTGTGAAAAAATGCAACGCCCATATCTCGCGTGGTCAGGCATGCGATCTCTTGATGGTTCCAGCACGCGGTCCTTGGAAGTCCCGACCTTATCCCCAGGACCGGTTTTTCATCCTGAGCCGTTTTTTGACTGTCTTGGGGCCCGGCAAGGGTTTCCAGAGGCCGAAGATCGAGAAGAATGTCTGTCCTGATTTTTCCAGGACGTTGCTGGTGTGGATGTTCCTAGCTTTCTTGTTTGCCAAATCTTCCGGAAGACGACCTCTGGTGATCCTGGCAATTGCATCGACATGTTGCCCGCCGCCATTCTGATGGTGGCTTGCGCTTGCCTCTCGATGGTTCCTGGCACTGATCCCCCTTCGGCTTGTACTGTTAAGTCGGGCGTCTCCCTCTACAGGAGGAATAGTCAAAAATAGGCAACAAATAGTCTGGGGACGATTGTTTGACTATTTTTGCGCATGTGTTGATTATTTGTGGGGCATCTCTTATGTTTCATCCAAAATCCGCCTGTAGGAGCACGTGCCCGACCTAATGGCACTGACCCGCACGACCTGCGAGTACACTGGTTTCGGGTGCCTGAGGCCGCCTGCGCGCTCCTCAACGGCGTAGACTCGTAGGCTCTACGTCTGAGGCCTCTCCCCTGTTCTCCTCCTCCGCGGCCGCCCTCCTCCTCCTCGCCCTCCTCCTCCTCCCCCCCTCCTCCACCTCCCCCCCCTCCTCCTCCTCCTCCTCCGCCCCCCTCCTCCTCCTCCTCCTCCTCCTCCTCCGCCCCCCTCCTCCTCCTCCTCCTCCTCCTCCTCTTCCTCCTCCTCCTCCTCCTCCTCCTCCTCCGATTCCATCTGCGCACGCCCATGGCGCGGCGCGCCCCGCCGGCTATTCGAATGCGCCCGCGACCGCCAGCACCGCTGATGAAAAACGTGTGGGTGGTCCTCCTCCCTGCCGCGCGCGTGTGAGATTGTCTGACAGGATACGGTGGGGGCGTTCGTTAAGAAAGGTGCCCAGGAAGCTCCAGACCCTGGAGAATTCCTTGTCCGATGAGGGCGGCGGTGATAGCCATGGCCAGGCGTTAGTGGGCGTTCCACAGGCTACCAGACCCTGGATTCCTTATCCAGTGGTTCCTTATCCAATGCCCTCGCCATAGTGAGCGGGAGCTTCTGCAGCACGCATGGCGATGACCGTGCGACTCCTCGTGCAAGCGGTTCCTGCTTCGCTTGAGCTTGGCACAATTGAAAGAGCGTGTTCTACCGCTGCTGGCGGAAAACCGGGGGGGGTCACTACCGGTTCGAACCGCCCCCCCCCCCCCCACCGAAAAACCGGGGGGGGTCACTACGGGTTCGAACCCCTTCCCCCCCCCCGTTCATCATGAAAAGGGGGGGGGTCACTACCGGTTCGAACCCCCCCCCCCCCCCTCGAAAACCGGGGGGGGTCACTACCGGTTCGAACCCCCCCCCCCCTCGAAAACCGAGGGGGGGTGCGGACAGTGGTGGGGACGGTGGTGGTGGGGACAGTGGTGAGGGGACAGCGGGACAGTGGTGGGGACAGTGGGACAGTGGTGGGGACGGTAGTGGTGGGGACAGTGGTGAGGACAATGGTGGGAACAGTGGGGACAGTGGACAGTGGTGGGGACGGTGGTGGTGGGGACAGTGGTGTGGGGACAGGGGGAGGTGGAAACAGTGGGACAGTGGAGGGTACAGTGGTGGTGGGGACAGTGGTGAAGGCGGTGGCGAGGACGGCGGTGGGACAATGGGACAGAGGTACAGTGGGGACAGTGGTGGGGACAGTGGGGACAGTGGTGGGAACAGTGGGACAGCTCAGTGGGACAGCGGAGGAGTCAGTGGGACAGTGGGGACAGTGGGGATAGTCGGGCAGTGGTTGGGGCCGTGGAGAAAGTGGGGAGATTGGAACCGTGGTGGGAACAGTGGTGGGGACAGTGGGGACACTGCGACAGTGGTGGGAGCACTGGTGGGGACAGTAGGGACGGTGGTGGAACCAGTGGGGACAGCGGTGGTGAGGACAGTGGCGCTGGGAACATCAATGGGGGATGTGGCGCGGACGGTGGTAGGGACCGGGAGTCGTTTGCTGGCGGTGAGTGGGGGGGTGGGGAGGGGTTCGAACCGGTAGTGACCCCTCCTCCGGTTTTCAGGGGGGGGGGTCGAACCGGTAGTGACCCCCCCCGGTTTTTCGAGGCGAGGGGGGGGGGGATTAGGGGAGGGGTTTTGCCGGGGGGGAGGGGGGGGGAAGGGGGGGGTTCCAGCAGGGGGGGGGGGATTTTCGGAGGGGGGGGTGGGGGGGACCCTTGGGCTCCGGAGGAAAAGGGGGGCAATTTTGCACAGTAAAGCGGCGGTGGATCGCGCTCTCTCGCACAATTCCACATCTAGTGGCCTTATTCGTGGAAGGCCTGCGTGCGACCAGAGTGCCTGCATCCCTTGCAGCGATGCCAGCTTCGCAGCGACGGCAACGCCGACAACGGCGCTGACGGCGACCGCGACGACGACGGCGGCGGCGGCGACGATGGCGGCGGCGGCGGCGACGGCGACGGCGGCGGCGACGGCGGCGGCGGCGGCGACGGCGACGGCGACGGCGACGGCGACGGCGACGGCGACGGCGACGGCGACGGCGACGAAGACGACGACGAAGACGACGACGACGACGACGACGACGACGACGGCGGCGTCGTTCGTTCGCTCGTTCGTTCGTTCGTTCGATCCCGCCCGCGCGATGCGCCCCAAAGAGGAGGAGCGCGACACGGACCGCCATGGCGACCGGGGCAGGAGCAGGGGCGGCAAGGCCCGCTCGGCCTCCCGCTCGAGGTCCCGCGGGAGGCGCAGGACCAGCCAGGGCCGTCTACGATCCAAGTCGTTGCGATTCGACTCGCGGGCTGGGCCCACGACTCCGATTCGATTCGATTCGATTCTACTCGAGATACCTCGGCGGCGAGCGAGGGGGGGAAGCGAGAAGGAGAAGGCCTTCTCAGAAGACGGCGGGACGTCTCAGAGGCCCTCGCGCCTTCTGAGAGGTGTTCGGTGTCTTCGGGGAAGGCTTAGAACACTTCTCGGAAGGCCGGGGGACGTCCGAACCTTCTGAGAAGGATTTCTCCTTCTCACTTCCTACCACGCTCGCCGCCGAGCACGATTCCGGTTCGACTCGGCTCGAGATACCAGCGTCGGTCAGGGCCAGCCAGGCGCGGCGATCCGATCCCGACCCGCTCGGGGGCCATCCGCTGGCGATCCGATCCGGTTCCGAGGCGAGCCGGCTTCGCGACGAGGTCCAGCTCAGGCTTGCCAGCCCGAGGCAGAGCCCGAGACAGACGGTCGGGAGCTCCGGTCGGGAAGGTTAGCCTCGAAGTTCGAGGGGTTCGGTCGTTTTCGTCGGTTCTGGGCGGCTTCCCAGCCTCGGGATGCTCTCCAAGAGCCGCGCCTCGCCGAGAGCGTTCGGGGGCTGCCCGGGCCCCGAAGACCAAAAGAGGCAGCGTCAGGGCGGCCGAGATTCGAGGATCGAGGCTCGAGGATTGAGATTCGAGGCTCGAGGCTGGAGAGGTTGCTCGGGCACCTCGCCGAGAGCCGGCGGGGCTGGAGGACGTGTCGGGCGTCGCGGCCGCTCCAGCTTGACCGGCCCAAGGCAGGGCCCGAGAGATGCGGTCGGCTATGTTTGCCTTGGCGCGTCGCGCCGAGGGTCCTGGCCCACCGCGTTTCGGTGCGTCGCGCTGTCGACGCCCCTGTCCCCCTTTCCAGGGCGTCCAGGTCCTTGGCCTCACCCAGCCTGCCGCCCCGCGAAGCGGAGCGGCACGCCATCCGCTTGCAGAGCATGGCGTGTCGCCGCGGCGAGTTGGTGAGCACAAGGAGGAGGACGAGGAGGAGAAGGAGGAGGAGGAGGAAGAAGATGAGGAGGAAAAGGGGAGGAGGAGGAAAAGGAGAGGAGGAGGAAAAGGGGAGGAAGAGGAAAAGGGCAAGGGGCAGGGGGAGGAAGGGGGGGACGAGCTCTTGATCGTAACTCCTAGGACCCGTTTCACTGCGGGCCCCTCCCTTGCGCTCGTGCCGACTAGGAGAGGCGAGGCAATCTGCGACGCCGCCGCCGAGGACGCTGGCGCCCACAAGAATGGCGCGGCGGAGGACCTCAGAGGAGAAACAAACAGACCGACACCGATGCCCCAGACCCTCTCGCGTCGTGCCGGGCCCCTGGATCGGCAGAAGAAGAAGTCAGAATGAGAAGAACGGTCCCCGTGAGTGGTCGAGTTCTCCAGAAGTTCGCATTGCGAACAAAAAAGCACGGCGCTGGGGTCCAGGGGCCCAATGCCCAGACCCCCGACGTGGTGCTGTCTTCAATCCCGAGGTGTTTGTTCCTCGACTTCGGTCCACGGGGGCCGTGCGCGGGTCGCACCAGCAGACGAATTCTGTGACATGCCCTCGGATTCGAAACAGACATAAAAAAATCAATCAAAACAACAACAACAACAACAACAACAACAACAACAACAATCATTTTACCCGAACGCGTGGTGTTCTCCCCAGTGCCAGGGTTTTCATACGACACCAGGCAATACCCCCACTTCGTGGGGGGGCATTACAAGCTCTACCAAATATCCAAACGACTCTTCGCGACCACCCAAACCCAGCTTCCCGCCCTATGACGTTGGGACACTTCACTTCGTGGCGTGCGGACGACCGTGGCTACTACACTGGCGTGGGGTACACACCCACAGAACTTGGTCACTTATTCGGGGCGCGCATGTGCCCAGCATGGTGCAATTGTGCCATACAATACATAATACAGAGAGACAGAGAGAGAGACAGAGAGCAGACAGAGAGAGAGACAGAGAGAGCGGAGTTGGTCACATTTTTGGGTCAAGTTCCTGGGATGATGGGAATACACAACTCTGTTACATTTGATAGTGTGCACGACACACATGAGATGATACGTACTCGCAAGATAGTTGGTCACATTTGTGGAATTCCTGGGCGGATGTGGGGATACACAAATACCTTTGTTACCAGTGCTAGACATGGTACAGACACTGAGAGAGAGAAGGCGAGACAGAGGAAGAGAGCGGGAGAGAGAGAGACAAAGAGAGAGAGAGACAGAGAGAGAGGAGTTCGTCACATTTTTTAATCAAATTCCTGTGCCGAAGTGGGAATACGCAAAGGCATCAGTTGCATATGACCCGTAGGGTACATGGTACACATGATCATGGTACGTACGCACAAGATGGTTGATCACATCTTTAGGGCAAATTCCTGAGGGATGTGGGAATACACAAGAGAGAGAGAGACGATATGGTTTTCCCGATGGTTGTCTCGATGGTTGTCCCGATGGTTGTCCTGATGATCGTGGTTGTCCCGATCGTCGTCCCCATGGTTGTCCCGATAGTTGTCCTGATGGTTATGGTTGTCCCGATCGTTGTCCACATGATTGTCCCGCTGGTTGTCCCGATGGTTGTTCGGATGGTTGTCCCGATGGTTGTCCCGATGGTTGTCGCGATGCTGCCATACTTTCTTTTTCTATCGCCCAGCCTCGGCGAACAGTGCCGGCGGGGGAACAGGGAGCATACTGCCAGAGCGCACTCATACTGTCATGAGCGGCCAAGGGCATGCGGCATACGGAACGGCACTCATACTGTCATGAGCGGCCAACGGCATACAGCCTACAGACGCGAAGGCTCCTCCTCCTGGGTCCCGTCCGTGATGGCGCCAATCCGCGGCGATACCTGAGGCTGGACAGGTGGCAGCACGGAGGCCATACGCGTCGCAATGGCGACATCAGGGATGTGTCCGAGCACGATGCTCATACGCCTGCTCGCGGATGCCGGGCCCGTGGCTGCGAGAGGAAATACCGCCAAGACGCCCGGGACCTGCACCGTGATACCGAGGTCCAGTCGGTAGTCCATTAGATTCCCATGCGGCGACTGGCCCCACGGTCGGTATACGTCCTGGTGCCACCATTGGTCCTGTGTCGGGTATACCCCGGGCTCGCCCGCGGCAACCCACAGTGCCATACCCTGCGGCTCATACCCCATGGATGGCGCGTGAATGGCGATGAATACGTCCAAGCTCATCAAGGCCCTATACGAAAGCCCCGATACGACCTCGGCGTGAACGCGAATACGAAGTCGATCCAAGATCCTGCGAAGGCCGGCATACATCCACTCGCCGTGCCGGACGAATACGTCGCGTGTCCAGTCACGTATGCCGGCGGTGGCGCTGAGCTGCTCGAGCACATACGCGAGCGTGCCCAGTACCCGCCCTTCTGGATCTCGAAAGCCGTGGAGGTTCCCGAATACGAGGTTCGCGTAGAAGAAGACGTCGAACGCGAACCACTCAGGCGTCTCGATACCGCCCCTACGCTTCATGTTCTCGTCGACCTCCGAGTTGGCCTTCGATACTCGCGTGGACGCAGCCGTTGATACGCAGAGGCATACACCCATGACTCCATTCCACACCGCGGGGGAGTAGATACCCGTAGCGAACCATCTGCTCTCGGCAAGCATCTTCAGCCATACGAATACAGCATTCTCGCCGCCGCGTGGGACGTTCCAGTCCCACATACGCTGGGCGACCTGCTGTTGCGATGGAGTATACTCTCCGGCGGCGTCCCAGTCCCCGTCCATGACAAAGGAGATACGTAAGATGGAAGATACGTGAATACGAAGATACGCAAATACGTAAATGCGAAGATACGCAAATGCACCTTGAGCACAAATGGCTGCGGCATACATGCGAATGTTGATGTGGCAAAGTGGCCAAGCCCATACGAACAGAAACGAACCACATACATGTGCCAAAGTGCCATTCGTGCGACGTCCGCCGCCGCACATGCGACCAAGGCAGGCATACCGACATCATGTTTTTTTTTTTTGTTTGCCCCGGGCCTCATGGATTCCCCCCCTAGATCCCCATGTAACGGCGGCCCGGGCCGAAGTGCCCAGGGAAGACGGCTCGGGCCGAAGGCATTAAGAGAATACGTAAAACCATTGAGCCCTGGGAGGCCCCCCCCAAGATCCCCAGACATGTCTTGCGGCTCGGGCCGAAGGCCTAAAGAGAATACATAACAACAGGGCCCTGGGAGGCCCCCCCAAGATCCCCAGATAGGTCTGGCGGCTCGGGCCAAAGGCCTAAAGAGAATACATAAAAACCATTGGGCCCTGGGAGGCCCCCCCCCCCCAGGAAAATGGTGGCCCCAAGAAAGCCCATGGTGACCCCAAGACAGCCTTTGATGGCCCCAAGACAGCCGATGGTGACCCCAAGAAAGCCTATGACGGCCCCAAGACAGCCCATGGTGGCCCCAAGACAGCCTGTGGTGGCCCCAAGACAGCAGCCAGTTGGTCACATTATTGGGGCAACTTTTGGCGCTGAGGCAGGCTGAGGCCGAGGCTGAGGCTGAGGCTGAAGCTGAAGAGGAAGCTGAAGCACTCTGAGGCCGAGGCTGAGGCTGATGCAGGCTGAGGCTGGGGTAGGCTGACGCCGACGCTGAGGCAGGCTGTTGCCGAGGCAGGCCGAGGCTGAGGCTGAGGCTGGGATCCGTCACCGTCGCCGTCGCCGTCGCCGTCGCCGCCGTCGCCGTCACCCTCGCCGTCTGCGTCGCCGTCGCCGTCGCCGTCGCCGTCGCCGTCGCCGTCGCCGTCGCCGTCGCCGTCGCCGTCGCCGTCGCCGTCGCCGTCGCCAGCAGCCCACGATGCCACCTGGGAGCGGCAGCCCACTGTGCCACCAGGGACGCGAGAGCAACCCCCGAACCAGGTGTTCACGTTTTTGTGTTTTTTTTTTTTGCCACTCCCAACTTCATATATATACGCCCGAGGTGCAGAAAAGAGATACTCTGGTCTAAATGCATGCAGCACCTGCCTCCCCAGCGTGCACGCACGACTCTGGAAGATTCGCCTCATACACCGTGCCCTCAGGAAGCCTTCCCGAAGTCGTTGACGCCGGAGACCTCGCTCACCCCCTCCACGTCCATACCGTTGTGGCCGACCGAGTGGCGGAGCTTCACAGCGGCCTGGAAGTCTTGAAGTGATACCTCGTGCTGCGATGGACCAGCTCCGTGAAAGCTGTTGCCGTGATACCTGAAACAGGTGGTAGCCCGATGGTGGCATTGAGCCACAAAGGCCAACCCCCCGCAACTTTGCCAATTGGCCATCATACGGACTCGCGACAGTTTAGTCTTGTCGAGCCAGTCATAGACCTGCTTCGCATACTTGTCCAACTCCGGCCCCGTCTTCGCGGTCGCCAGCACTGCGTCGCCCGTACCGCTCGCACGGAGGAGAGCAGCACCCTTCTTCTCAGGCTGCTTCTTGGGTGCCAGGCAATACTGCAAGGCCGGCAGGATCTCATCAATCTCTTTGTACAAATCGTTATACATCTGCTCCTTCAATACCGCCTTGTTCCCCGCCATTACCGAGGGATCCTTTTGATACTCGCAGAAGGTCTTCATCGCGTGAATGAAACGGTTAATACCGACACCCCTCCGCTCCGGCTCCTTGCTGCACATCTCCGACATCCATACGGCCCCGCTCTTCAGCGGCCCCTGCATCTGGGCCCATACCTGCGCGTCCTTCAACTTCGCGAACTTCGAAGGCCCATACACGTTGAGCAACTGCGCGGGCAACGTCTCGTATACCTTCAGCCACTCCCGCTTCTTCTGGTCCTTCGGCTTCTCCACGGAGGCCGGGGCGCCCGTCGGCGCCGCAGCCCCGGCCAGGGCGAAGTCTGGGCAGTGGTCGAGTGTCATACGGAACCGCGGGGAATACACTTCCGAGTGGGAAGCCTGGTGCAGCCGTGCCGACTTTGGGAATATATGGCTGCAGTTTGAAACCGGATACCTACTACTGGCACACATGGCACTACTGGCACACATGCAGTTTTTGGATACGTATTGCACATGATACGTACGACGGACAGCATGTTACATATGATACGTACGGCAAATCATCCGTATGATACACATGCGACAGAGACCACAGTTGGTCAAATTTTTGGGGCAAGTTTTGCCACACACGCAGTGGTTACGTATAATACATATTGCACATGATACGTGTGAGAGACCTGAGACAGACACAACAGTTGGTCACATTTTTGGGGCAAAGTTGACGTACGAGTATATCTACATATGTATACATATATGT